ACCAATATTTGGCCCTAGATCTTTATGAAATTAATCCACACCTTGGTACGGCTGATGACCACAAGATGCTCGTTAAGCTCTCGCGAGAAAGACATTACATAATGCCATACGTTTAATCTAAACTTTTGATTATATCAATTTTTTTAATTTTGTCATATAATGGACTGGACCTTTTTTTGTTTCCTGATAGAAATCACATGGATCCACCGGATGAAAAACCGAAGAATGTTAAAACATATTATCCATTTAATAAAATTGGATATTTTCAACTTTTATTGTTACATTGATAATCCTGAAGATTAAGCAAATGATGAATATTGTAGCCTAGGTGAAGATTTGCCAATTACCAGTATTTTTTTTTTTTATTTAAAAAACAGATATGCTAAAAGAAAATACTTTTCATCATCTTTATTGCGACCCATTAAGTAGATCTTGACAATGAAGACCCTGTAGTGATCTCTGAATTAAAAAAAATGAATCATTGGTAGATCAAAAGAATTCGATTTTGATGGCAAACGTATCGATGCAGCAAAGCACATTCGATATAGTTTTTGTGATGCGTTCATTCAAGGTATGGAAGAGCATATTCTGAATCGGGATTTATTAAAGGCATTTAATAGTACTTTATGGTATCCTCCATTCCTAATCCTGGTACTAATATGAAACAGAATGTCATAAATGATGATAGAAAATCTTTTAATGATATTAATATACTAGTAAATTTTCTTGAGTGTCATAGTCAATCGGTTAGTGATGTATTTTTTTGAGATGTAAAAAGTAACATCATTCGATCATTCATTTATTTTTTAATTGTTGATTATTGGTTTTAAAAACTCAAGATAAATTATAATTCATAATGTGTTGACCTTAGACATGCTAATAATCATTCATTTTTTTTTATGTCATCATAGATTAGGAAATGTTTTTTAATAATTTCTTAGTTAATAAGGAGAATCAACCAAACAAGAATTTACGGGGCGGGGAATCTAACAGGAAGTAATCCTTTTAATCGTGAAAACACTTTATCCATCTTCTTATTCACGATCGTCTCCCTCATACAAGTTAATCGCTAATATCAATGCATTACTTATAGCATTTTTCTATTCATTATCTATCAAAGCTTGGGTAATATTCTTTTATTAAAGACAAGGCATTAATCTAAACCTCTCTAATTATGGTGGTAATAATCTAAATTATATTTTTTATGTAAGATGGCCCGTTGGTGACGTTTTAGTTAATGTTGTAAGATGTGAAGATCTCATAATGTTCGGTTCAATTGACGGTGAAGGATTTAAAAGTCTTGATCTATTTAATATAAATATATATGGTAATATATAACTCGACAAGGTTAATTAGAATTATTCACTATTTTTTATAAAAATAATAAAAACCGATTTTTAGTCATTTACATCTCGTCAAAGATCTATGAAACACAATTTTCAACGCGAAGACTCTTCGTATTTTGAAACTGGTATATAATATTATTAAATTACATGTAAAAAAAAAATGTTCCTATATGTAAATTTAATTATTTTAAAGCGGGTAAATTAAAAATTGTAAAATTGTAAATGATAAAACGGACAAATATTATCTAGTGATTTGCTATATTATATGGTTGAAGGGTAAGAAAAATACTATAAATAGGATTCCAAACTAATCATTATTTATATGAATTCTGTAGGTAATTTTGCATTAAACCAATGTCCATGTTAGTAACTTAACTCACAATTTTTTGCATTTTCTTCGATTCCTTTGCCATATGATTAAAATACTCCTTGGCCTCGTCGAACAAGTGATTTGAAGCAAAATTTTAAATCAATAGTAAAGTCAGGAATTAAAAAAGAAAAGCGACTTGAATCGTTAATTTTTATTGGATAATAATATCATAAGATAAATACATATTGAAGAAGAAACGATAAAAACATATCTAAAGCTATACTAGTTGACGAAAATTGAATATAGGACAAGCGAACCCATATTTTCACACTTGTTTAGCTAATAGTATGAAATGAGAGTGTACATCTTTTTATATTTTGGTCCTTAAGTTCAAGGAGTGAATTCACTGACCAGCAGACATACCACTATAACTAAAACCATTGGTGTTGTAAAAAAAAAAAATTTAGGAAGAGAGTGTAGTATTAAAAGGGCTGAAGCGACAACTAATGTAGCTAATAAAATAATTTATCAGAATGAAGGCGATACTCGTTTGATTTAGAAACGTCCATTATCCTTTGATAATAATCAGCATTATTGTTGTGTTTCATCTTCTAAATTGTCAGCAAGGACGTAGTCTTAAAAGAGCCTAAGCGTTCGACTTTCGTTAGCTATACCTAATATCATTAGATAAATTAAAATAGAAGTATGTAAATACATATAGAAGAAGAAACAAAAGAGAAACTATCTAAAGTTATACTAGCAGAAGCACTTCGACGCAAATTGGACATAGGACAAGCGAACCCATATTTTCTACTTGCTTTGCCAATAGTACGAAACGAGAGGATACTTCTTTCTATATTTTGGTCCTTAAGTTCAGGGAGTGAATTCACTGACCAGCAGATGTATCACTTTAACTAAGGCCATTTATTTTTATATATATATATTTTTTATTTTATTTTTGTTTTTTTTTATAAAAAATAAAGAAAAAGAAAATGATAAAAAAAAAAAAAAAGAAAGGGAGCGTAGTCCTAGACTACCTTTTGATAAGCTTCGGCATTGTCACTGTGTGTTTCACCTTCTTAATTGTCAGTAGTTCTTGTAATAACAATTTCGTGCGTGCTTTTACTTGTGTTGAAGAAAAGATTAAAATGTTTATTAGTTTGAAAGTTTGCGATATATATTGTACGTGGGAAAATTTTGAAATTGTTTTCAAAAAAAATGATTGGTTGAGATGTGTTACAAAAAAAAAGCCAATCAATCATTTATCAATACTCGCTAAAGGGTATTTATGTTCAAAAGCAAACAACAATTTGAAATCATTATATGAACCCACCTTTAACAAAATATTGAATAAATGAGTGAGTTGAATCCATTTATATTTAAACAAAATTTTACGCTCAACTCGATTAATTAAAGTTTATAATCAGATACATCTATGAAACTTCGAATGTAAAATGGTTTTTGCAATTTTTTTCGCGACTCTGTATGAAATATTTTTGTCAAATAACTATAAAAAAGTGACAAAATTACCTCTATGGTTTCCAACGAAACTCCCTTTGTGCTAAAGATTTACTCCACTTCCTTCGAAACGGATGACAGTACTGAATCATCTCCCCTCTGGAACTGAAAATTACAGCAAGGATATATTATATCTGATTGAAAGATTGTAGTTGTGATTTGGTTTTGGATGTGGTGAAATAGCTTAATAGCACCTTAGCACACAAAGCATGATGTAAAGAATTAATAATATAACATTATTTTTTCTTACTTTTTTTTCACGTATATTTTAATCATTTTTTTTTTGCTTGCAAGGAATGATAACATTAAGGAAATTGACTTAAAATCCGAGCAAAGGAAAGCTACGTTGTTTGCTTTTAAAAAAATAAATATGCAGTGTATATAATATATTTTTTTTTATTAGATATGGAATCAGGAAAACGAAATTAAACTAATAAAGCGTTAGTTCTAACTTATTTATAAAACAAACATTCAGCACATGCATACTTACCGAAATTTGTAGTGAAAGTTTTTTTTTTTTTAAAAAAGAAACTTTTCGTCTTCTTTACCAACGCATCAAATTATTCTCCCATATATATGAAACTGTAAAAAAATATAGGCACACTTTTTTCCTGTAACTTTAGGCTTCGGACACGTGACTACCGACATTTTGAAATAGAAAGAAAGAAAATATGTCGATCATAAACTCTGAAAAATCGTCAAGAAAAAAAAAATGATGAGTAAATTAGATAACAAAAGAAACGTATAAAAAAGCTGGTGAATATTCTCACAGAAGAGACAACAATTAAAAAAATTTTCATTTTTTAATTTTTAAATTCACGGTATGTATATTAAATTATAATAAAGTCGCCTCAACTGAAATTTTTTTTTTTTCAGATAAATATCAGATGCATTAATGTCCGAAATGCGCAATATACAAACTAGGATGATAATGCTGAACTCAGCAAATAACAAAAAATATATATATATATCAAATTCACATCATTATCTTATTTAATATAATAAAGTTAAACCTGATAGTCGATAGTTATTCAGTTGTAACAATAAACTTTAAGATTAGACTTATATCTTAAAACTTCTTATCTACATATAGGTACTGATTAACTAGATTTAGAAACTACATCCAAAAATTCTTTAATCAGTTAATACTTACTGGCAAAATTATTTGTTAACCAGTTAAAATTAACTTAGGCCAGTACTATAAATTTGGCGGAATTAGACAATAATAATTTGCAATCATAAAAATCGGTTGGAAATTGAATTTCGGTTGGAGTTAAATTCATCTATTTTATCTGGTTAAAAAATCATTAACAGGCCTGATAACCGCTTTAACTGGTTAGTTAACTGATTAAAAATTAACCAGTTCCAATCTCTAATGTAAATTGCATTTAATATTTTAATATTTATTCTTTAAAAGTAATTTTTTTAAAAATGACTAAAAGTGTACGCACGAATGCAAGCTTATTTTCATTAAACTTTTTTATTATAATTTCACATAAAATCGATTTTGTGATGCATTTCTTAGGAAAACTTTTTCAGAACGCAGTATTAACATGAAAATCTGTGTTAAAATATTGTATTTATTGTAGAAATCATTATGATAATTATCAACACCAGAATAATTATACAACTCATATGACAAGACTAAAAATATCAGAAAGAAATGTAATAAATAATATAGGAACTTATATGATTGATCGAATTTAAATTACGTCTAAGGATAGAGGCATCCAATATGACTCATTCAACAGAAGACCTACAATAACTTATTAAAATATGTATAGGCGCTCTGAAACTCAAAAATAAATTTTATTCGAGTTAATTTCAAATCTGGATTTATTTAAATAAAATAAAACAAATTTGGCTTATAAACAAAATTTTTGATTTGTTTCTATAAATGGCAAGGAAATTTTCATTGGTTCACTTGAATGATCACAGTCATGTGCACAAGTTAGATTGAGAGAAATTAACTTAGAAACATGAACATTGAAGGGCGTAAGGAAACATTTTGAATTACTGTATTCAAACCGAGTATTTATTTAGTTTTTTTTTGCTATTCATTCATTAAACAATTATAAGATATTTCAGTTTAATATTATGTATATATTTAAACACATTAATATGAATTTCTTAGAATTCGCTAATAAATATAAAAAATTAATTCCAAAACTCACACCAGAAGTCAACAAAGCATTTCAAATAAGCGATAAGCTGAGCTATATTGTTAATGTGTCAAAAGAACCTCTGGTAACTACGAATAAACCTTTTTTGTTCATTATCACGTGCCTGCAGATTTACAAGATGAAAGCTTTACGTTGTAAAGATTGGTAAGCTTTTTATAGTCGTAGTTCTAACTTGTGCTCTCATATTTTTATATACAGAACCTCCTTATAGTGTTTTTTAAAGATGATAATAATGAAAAAAACGAAGATAAAAAATTTGCGAAACTTTTGATATATTTGAAGATAGCTATTATCATTCGTGTGAAGTAAGACTATAAGTAAATTGCGTGTTACAGGAAACCTAGGAATTGGTAAGACCTTTTAAGCTACTATTTTTTCTATCTACTAGCATCAAAAAGAGAAATTGTTGTATATCATAAAGTCGGCCTTCTCCTTCTATTCGAAAAGAGAGTCTTATTCGTTGAAAATCCTTTTAGTTACCTTGAATACCTGGGTGATCTGGATACCTGGTATATATTAGATGGTCATCTTATGACACTAAGACGATTCTCTTATTTTCACCTTACAAAAACTTTGATAAGGTGGAGGGAGGGATAGAAGTACGATATAGTACGATATAAGCCGTATGGGATCTTGATGGGATCTAAAAATGCAGGAATATAATATACAATGATCTTGAGGAAAATTATGTTAAGGATTTGTTTTTGAAAAATAATTCCTCGTTTCGTCTTAGATCTTGCTAAAATGAAAATGAGCAAATAAGCCTAAAGATGTAATTAATATATTGTGAGGAATACATATTTAATTTGTGATTCGTGTAACAACCAGAGAAAATTACTATGCTAAATCAGGGGAAATTTTTGTAGATCAAATAGTCTTAATGAAAAATTGGCATTTTTGACGCATTTATTAAAGGATCACTAGTCATAATTACACAACCAATTTATTAATTGTTATAATCATCATGACGTAACGGGTGCCGTCCAAAATCTCGAAATCCAAAATATCGAAAGGTTAAAATCTCGAAATCCAAAATCTCGAAATCCAAAAT